GCGGAATCAATTCAGGGATTCCCGGTAGCGCAGACTGATCTGCTGCGGCCCCGCGGGATGTGGTTTGACGCCTGCTCTGCTCTCCCTGGGGTGCGGGTAGAGCACGCAGCTCCAGAGCGGGGTGGTGGGCGCACGGGGAAGCACGGAGCACGCGGAGAAGGGGCTGCGCTGACCCGTGGGTGCAGGCAGCCTTCGGCTCTTGGTGCTCCAGTGTCCCCCTCTTGGCATTGGCGCTCGCCCCGGGGTGCGCCCGTAGGGTCTGCAAGGGCCTGGGGACGGCGCTGTCCTCGGAAGCCCCGGGCAGCGGCCGGGGCAGAGACCTGGCCGGGTTGAGGAACGCCCCGGGTGCTGCGGTGTCGTCCTGTTCTGCGCTGACGCCCTTTTTCTCTCCGCCCCGCACAGCAAATCCGTGCAGAGCAAAGTCGACTCCATCCTGGTGAGTGCCCCCGCCGCACGTTGCGCTGAGGGTGCGGGAGCGACGGCGTCTCCACCTCTCTCCTCGCTAAACCGAACCCTGGGTTCTGCCCGATCCCGTTTCCCACTGGGTCAGGGTCTGGCCGCGGGGATGAGCCCCGAGAAACGTTTCTCTCCGCCCCGCACAGCAAATCCGTGCAGAGCAAAGTCGACTCCATCCTGGTGAGTGCCCCCGCCGCACGTTGCGCTGAGGGTGCGGGAGCGACGGCGTCTCCACCTCTCTCCTCGCTAAACCGAACCCTGGGTTCTGCCCGATCCCGTTTCCCACTGGGTCAGGGTCTGGCCGCGGGGATGAGCCCCGAGAAACGCCTGAGCACCCTGCCCACGGGGGTGGCACCTACTCCCCCAGCCCCGTGTGGGACGACCCTGTCCCGTCCCCTCGAGGGGCAGCGCCCGTGACTTGGTTCACCCCGGTCCCTCGCGTGCGGGCTGCGTTCGTGCTGACGAAGCCGCTCTGGTTTCCATGCCCCGTCAGCTCCTGCCGCTGGGCGGGTAACGAGAGCGCTGCCTGCACCAGCCCTCCCTTATTCTGGATCCTGAACCTGTCCTTGTCTCTGGTCCCCTCTCCCCCTCCCTGTGGACCCTTTGACCGTAGCAAGATGTCCAGAAGTTTTCAGACAATGACAAGCTCTACCTCTACCTCCAGCTGCCGTCGGGGCCAAGCCTGGGGGAGAAGAGGTGGGTGCCGGGCCGAGCCGGGGCCGTGTTTGGGAGAGCAGGGGCTGTCGGGATGGGAGGGGGGACGCTCGGGTGGCAAGAGGCCAGGAGGGAGATTGCTGCGGCTCCGCCTCCTCCGGTCCTGCTGGTGCCGCTTCTCCGCTAATTAAATGTTTGTCTTGGGCTCCCACGGGAGCAGCAGTAGCTTGGACCTGAGCTCGCTGAGCACGGCCGAGTACATGCACGCGTGCAACTGGATCCGGAACCACCTGGAAGAGCACACGGACACTTGCCTGCCCAAGCAGGACGTCTACGACGCCTACAAGTGAGCGCGGGGGCCAGCCTGGCGTGAGGAGCCTCTCCCCGGGGCCGGGCTTGTCCAGCGAAGCCCAGCAGGGAGGTCGGTGCGGAGGGCAGCGAGTTGGGGTTTTTTGGGAATGGTCCTGCCCAACTTTGGGCTCTCGAAACGAGCCACGCCGGCGGGGAGGGGCGGGTGCGTCGGAGGGCAGCGAGAAGGGCTCGGCGGCTTTAACCTGCAGCTCTCCCCGGCAGGCGATACTGCGATAACCTCTGCTGTCGCCCCCTGAGCACCGCCAATTTTGGCAAGATCATCCGGGAGATCTTCCCAAACATCAAAGCCCGAAGGCTGGGAGGCCGGGGACAGTCAAAATATCCTTCCGTGTGCCCGCTGGCCAGGGAAGCCCGGGGGGCTGCCTGGGCTGCTGCTTCTCCAATTTTTCCCATTTATAAGTCCATGCACAACAAATTTTGTAGCTTCTGAGAGGGTCTGGTTCCTGGTTTTTCGGCTCCTGGGGGTCCTGGTGCAGTCCTACAGCAGCGAGGTGATGGAGGCGGCCTGCGCCCTGACCTGCGACTGGGCCGAGAAGATCCTCAAACGCTCTTTCAACAACATCGTGGAGGTGGCCCAGTTCCTCATCCAGCAGCACATCATCAGCTCCCGCTCGGCCCGCGCCGACCTGGTCATGGCCATGGTGGTCTCAGGTGGGTGGGGTGGAGCCCTGGGCTCACTCGGACCCCCAAGGGGCACAGGAGGTGGGGGTCCTGCAGGAGGCAGTGTCCCCCTCCAGCTGCGCGCAGCGTGGGCGAGCGCAGGGGTGCCCGGGGCTTGTCCCCCCTTCCTCACCTTCTGTGCGCCCACAGAGAGCACGGAGAAGATCCACCGTGAGAGTCGAACCCCGTCGACAGCGAAGA